CCTGGATTCAATGAATGCTCTCATTTTTGTTTTGCAAATGGTGTAGATCAGATTAAATAATTTGTTTAAATGTCTTGCAGTGAGAGAGGTCACCTTTTTATGTTAGCAAGCTGGGAAGAAAAACAACATTTCACTTTTAGTTCACTAAAAACAAATGTGTATAGATTAAAATAAATTTTGTTCATTAAATCGTTGTAAATGTAATTTAAAAATGAATTTTCTAAGTCTCTTTGTGTGGTAAGAGGACAAAACAATGAACTAGCCCATACTTTTTGTCTTTTCCTTATCCCCAATAGGATCAACAGTATCATCAATCATTTCAGGTCTCAGAATATTGTAAGAGTTCTTCAATTTATTCTGAAGGAAAAAAAAATTTTTTTGCTTTCTACAGAGTTGAGAAATTTTCAAGAGATGTGTATGCTTGTTAAAACAAGAATCTCAGACTGGAGAGTTTGCTCAGTGGTTAAGACCGCTGGCTTCTCTTTCAGAGGACCTGGGTTTGGTACCCAGCGCACATATGGCTGCTAACTAGCTAAACTCCAGTTCTAGGGAATTTAGATGCCCTCTTATGGCCCCTGTGGGCATTGCATGCATTTGATGCACTTGGGTATGTGCAGTCAAAACATTCATACACATAAATTAAAAATAAATAAATAAAAAACATTAATTAAAAACTACTCTTGCCAGGCGCGGTGGTACATGCCTTTAGTCCCAGCACTTGGGAGGCAGAGGCAGGTGGATCTCTGTGAGTTCAAGGCCAGCCTGGTCTACATAGTGAGTTCCAGGACAGCTGGGGCTACAGGGAGACCCTGTCTCAAAAAGACCAAAAACAAAACAAAACAAAACCAAAACTACTCTGAGCTCATTCTGGCCATAGTGTTTTGACCCCTAATCTGGACCTATGTGTGTCATACAGAGCCATTTATCATATATGGCTGTGCAGCACTTGAAATGTATCTGGTCTCAGTAGAGATGTGCAATAAATGTAACATTCACAGCAGATTTCTAAGACTCAGTGCAAGAAAAAAGCAAGTTCATTAATACTAAGTTTTAAATTTTGGTTGCATATTAAAACAATAAGATTTTAGACATATGGAGTTAAGGACAATATTGCAAAATTGATTTTCTTTTTGAGACAAGGTCTCCCTGTAGTCCAAGCTGGCCTTGAACTCACTGTTGTAGATCAGGCTGTCCTCGAGCTCACAGAGTTCTGCCTGCCTCTTGAGTGCTGAGACTAAAGATGTGTGCCACCACACCCGGCTTCTGTTTATTTTAAAAAACTGGTCTCTGAAAATGAAAAACGATGTGGCTCATATTTTCTTTTTTCTGGGCAGTGCTGATCTAGAAGGAATCAGAGAGGCCCAACCCTTTTCTAAATTTTTTTCATATTACACCCCAGTGCTGAGTGGTTATGTGGCCTTGAATGAGGCACAGTTGTGGGGGAATTGGTGGAAAGCCTGCGGTCTTTGAAGAGAAGGCATTTGGATTTCCTTGGAGGAGGGGTCCTAGTTGCCCCATGTGACTTTTTTGAGCCTCCTGTCCTAGATTGGTCTAGAGTCTAGCAGTTTCTTGGCATGTTCTGAGGGCTTTTAGCCTGGCAGGTCTGCTCTTATTGCTGGCTTATTGGCCTTTTGCTGTTTGTCTTATGTCAACAGAATGGTGAAGCACCTTAATGGACTGATCTGTTTCTTTCATCAGTGACATTATAAAAAAGTGAATAGACCAAAACCAAAACCACAAATGATTTTACTCTGATGGAGTGCTTTATTTTAAGTAGTGCTTATTATAAATAAAACATTTCATGATTATGTAGTTGACCTATGTAAGGATCTCTAATTTTGAGTTAAACAAAGGGCTTTTCAATTTCTGTTAATATGGATTTGGATCTTAATGAATCTAAGTTCAAGTAATTCCAATTATCAACTAGTTATAACAATTCCATTTTTGTTTTGTTTAACTGAAGATGACAATAAAATAGATTTTTAAAAAGATTGCTTTCCTTTTCCAGTATTACCAAAGTTTGAAGTTGCTTTACAGATACCATTATATTGTTCTTTGAATTCTAAGCACTTAAATGG